TTTTACACAAAGCCATCAAAACTGCATCTTACATACTCTGCTATAGCATCCAACTCAGAAAAGCTAAACGGCGTTTTAACACAAATACACTGCTCATTGAGGGTGTCACCTTTGAGGTGGTGTCCTTCAGGTTAATGACACCAGACTCAATCATCTCGTGGTACAAGTCATTTCCCTCACGGGTTCGCTCTCCCACTCCAGCAAACACAGAGTAGCCACCATGAGCCTTGGCCACGTTGTTGATCAGCTCCATAATCAGCACAGTCTTGCCAACACCGGCACCGCCAAACAGACCTGAAGGAATACATTATGCACAATAATCAGTTATGTTGACTTGTATGTATGAAAATGTGAAAAAACAAATCCGGGGTGTCAGATAATCCACCAACCAATCTTTCCGCCCTTGGCGTAGGGGGCCAGCAGATCTACCACTTTGATGCCAGTGACCAGGATCTCCTGCTCCACACTCATGTCTGTGAACTCCGGGGCTTCAGCGTGAATAGGAGCAGTTCTGCAAGATAGGAGTCATTTTTATATACGACGTTTAAAAGAATAAGGTCAGCGATATTTCTGTTTATTATTGTAAATAAATCAGATTTTTTTTAAAAGACCCAAACCTGCAAATTAAATAATCCAACTAATTCACTCTCTTCATTTTTGAGTGACATTTACTAAAAACTACCCCTACATTTTTTAGGAAACTACTTTTCAGAAGTGAAACTATATGTGCATTTTTATTAGGAATGTACGATATAAGCTGATAGAATTATTTCACGTTTGTATTTTAAAAATAAGTTAATGACCTGTAGTTTATACACAGCTGAGGGTAAGACAAGTTAAGATTAGAGTAGGTAAAGATGGTTGATTTTGTCTCTTCTAACCAACGCTAACTAACATCACAACAAAAACAGTTCTGACTGACTTTTTGATCAGAAAATTTCACAAACATACTTTAGCTTTCATAAAAATAAATCCAATTAATAGTTTTGCAGTAAGAATTCAAAATAAATGATTATTATTGGCCAATAATTGATCTGTGCTGATATAGAATAACTACTTCATGATCAACACTTACTGTTTGGTGGTAATTGGACCCCTCTCATCAATGGGTTCTCCAATGACATTCATGATCCTGCCCAAGGTTTCAGGGCCCACAGGGATCCTGATGGGGGCTCCAGTATCCAGAACCTTCTGACCGCGGACCAGCCCCTCTGTGCCATCCATGGCGATCGTCCTGACTGTGCTTTCACCTGAAGAAACACACGAGGAGAGACTGTAAAGACACTGTGTACTTTTCATGGCAGACATCCACACAATGACCTGTCGAGCAATATTCCAACCCCAGTATCAATCCGGCACGCTCACCCAGATGCTGGGCCACCTCCAGCACCAGCCTGCTCTCACGGCCGGCCACCTCCAGTGCATTGAGGATAGGAGGTAGGCCTTCATCAAACTGGACATCCACCACAGCACCAATCACAGCCACTATGCGGCCATTGGCGATTGCTGCCTGAGCAGCCGGAGCTGCGTAACCCCTGCCTGAAAGGACAATGGCAGGAAAAGGACAACGACATTAAAGGAAACATATTAAAAGTGACTTTACATGTGACAGCTGACAGATCAAAACATCTTACAGTGAATAAACAAGGATTAGTGCACGCATGTGATATAAGAAAATCTATAAAAACAAATAACTTAATACATTTATTTCCACATGTTGGTGCTTCAGGAAGCATTTTCGCATATTTTGATGAAACTTTAAGTGCTGAAAACCTAAGTGTCTCCAGTGGCGTTGACTTGTACTCAGGTACATGGAAAGGTCATTGATTGGAGACAGTGAACCAGGCCTCAACTGAAGCTACAACGTCTCATCGGAGCAACAAAAAGACCAAATAACTGCATTTGTGTCATTATTGCTGCTTTAAATTAAATAAAAAACCCCACTGACTGCAAATGAATGGAGACACTGTATAGTAAACATGAGGCCTGACCCCCTGAGCGTGCTACATTAGCGTTAAAGGACATATAATGCTGACAAGTCGGCCCGTGGTTTTAAATGTATTCACTCACTCGAATAAAGAGTCGCATGTGTCCCACTGACGGTCTTCAGAGAGTTGATCCCAGGCTTTAGAGCCTGCAGAGCCCCGCTGCAGCACCGTCCCACAGCACCCAACATGGTTAAGATGGCTGAAGGTGAAGCGCTCACTCAGCTGTGGGTGATCCTGAACCCAACGGCTTGTCTGAGCATGCGCGGTCTGTCTGTGTTTATACCCTCTTTTACGGAAAGAGGGCAGCACAAAACTATACACCTTTTCACAAACACAGACTAACAGCATGAATAAAGTTCAATAAAAAAAGACATAGACTAATATGTACTGTTATGAATGTATACAAACAAACATTTGTAGACAGTAGATAATAGTTCAGAGTGCAAAGGATGCTGACATAAATATTTTACGTGCAGGTATGTTTATGTAAATGGGGTAGGTGGATATGACAGAGTCTACTGTAGATACAGTACATGCAGTATGCACAGCATAGGTAGATGTATTAGAATAGTATGTATGTTTTAAAAAGAAACAATGGGAAAATAAGTAATAAATGGTTTCCAGGTTCAGTGGATATTAAGAGTCCTAAGGTTATTGTAGAGGGCAGTTAAGTGTTGGTCAGAGTGATGGCCTATGGGTAGAAACTGTTCCTGTGTCTCTTTGTTTGGGTGTACAGTGCTCTGTAGCGCCTACCAGAGGGGAGAAGTTGGAACAGGTAACAAATAAAAATGTGCAAGACATACCTCATACAAAACACAAAGATTGGGTGCATAAAAAATACACTCAGAGAAAAGACTAACCAAAACAAACACGAGTATATCATTATCTTATCTATTATACAAAAAAGTTTTACAAATGTTTTACTTTTCAAGGCTTTGAGGACTTTGACATAAGAAAGGAACACATTATGAAATACATTAAACCTAGGCTTTGCTTTCATATAGTTGGATAAGTGTATATAAAAATTTGCAAGAATAATAATATTGTTAACTGAAATGAATCATTGCTATTGTTCATAAACAAGATATCAAGTTACAAACTATATTGGTTTTTATGGAGTACGTACAGGCCACAAGCAAACGCCTATTATTTTGTGTTGTTAAGATATAAAATGGTACAATATTATGAAAAATAGTTAATAACAATTAGGGATCCTACACATTTAAATAGCATTTTACCACACAAAAAACAGCATAAACAGTTATGTATAGAATATATTTTTTAAATTATTATTTTATCTAGAAACACCTGGCGGGCCAAATTGTACCTTGTGATGAGCCAACTTTGGCCCACAGGCCCCGCTTTGGGCAGCAATGGTTTAGGCATTTTGCAGCTGTTCATTTATAACTGTTGCACAGGACCAGAGTGTGCAGATATTGTGTTTTATAACCCCTTCTTTCTTTTTGCAAGTCTCCAAAATAGTTTGCAAAGGGCTAGAATCTTAAGTTTAACATTAGTGATACCAGGCACTGGTATCACTAATGTTAATGTTAATATCAATACCAGCGGATCAAAAGGAAGTAGATACACAATTCACATGTAAAACAGGAATATTTCCAAACTAAATGCTTTAAGTGTCACAGGTCAGGTTTTCGCTTGCTAGTGATAGCACTTTGGAGCCCCCGTTGGCAACAAGTTACTACTGGTTACTACTTCTGCTAATAATATAAAATATAGTATAACAAATAATAACAAATATTCATTTTATTTGTCTGTGATGAATGCAATTAAAAGAAAATCTGTCATTGCAATGATTTTTTAATCTTTCTAAATTCCCTCAATCAACAACAATCATTACTTTAGATTTTACATTCCTGTTTCCTTAACCCTAAACTGCTCTGATCCTTGTTTACATTTTACAGCATCATTTATTTGATATATGTAACTGAACCCAACAATTAAAAACACCACAATTTATAGCTCATGTGGGAAAATCCCCGGCCACAGATGCACTTTATTTTTGGTCATTCAGTCAGTCAGAGTATATCATTTTGATCCAATTGGTTTTCACACCTCATTGTATATTGCCTGTAACGGTGTCGCAGTTATTGTGCCTTCAGTGCATAGATGTTTTATCACAGGTTTAAAATGTTTCATTAGCAACCAGTTCTAAGGTCTTGTAATCACCAGCAGTCACAAACATAATAAGGGAACATACACATGAAACATTCAGTCAGTGATGGACGCACATATACCGGGACTTCATCATCATTTCTCACAAATGTTGCTGCAGTATATAGGAACACTATAAATAGTTGTCATTCATCAGAGAGAGTAAAGTGACGGGTGGATTTTGCCAAGCCATCATTCAATGCAACATTCCTTTGTGTCAGAAAGTCTCCTCTAATTACTTCTTGCCTGGAGCTTTGCAACACAAAGCCTCCTCACCTTAAGCACAGCAGGCTCTGTGATTCCTCAGCCAGTCTGCACAGGACTAGCCCCATCTTCAAATCACAACAGGAGTATGCACACTAAAATGTTACCTCTGGCTACCATTCAGTGGTCAGATGGCATCTTTAAGGGTCTGGAAGGTGAAGTACCACCTACAGTCTTCAGTTATTTATTTTCTGAAAGATCTATTGCATGTCACTTGCTAGTTGCAACTCCATTTTTCATAAAGGTATAATTAAAGGAAACAAATCACAGCTAAATCTAATGCAGTAACCGCACATATACTCATAACTTATCTTTTTAGATCTCTTTCTAATCTAAAAAGAGATAAATATGCATTGCTCATACAACCCTCTGGATGGTATTTCAACGATGTTGTAAAGCTTTTATCCTTTTGCCCATTTTCAATGTCTAGTTGAGGTTTCTGTTGAGAATACTGTGATCATCCGAACAAATCAAATTCCCCTTTTCTAGCACTGCTTGGTCATTTTTAAATTAATTTAGAAATCTCTGACCTTTTAACCATTTTTCCTCAGGCAGGGCTGTTATGGTCATTCCACAGTCCAGGGTGGAGACCAAAGGTGACCAGGTCTTTGCCATTAAGTCCCCCAACCCCCTTACCTGTGGAATTTATTCTGGCATCAATGCCAAATTAAAAATTTTATTCGGGTGTGTATTTTATATTCAACATTTTTCTGTAAGCTTTACTGACTTAGTTAACATATATTCTTAAATGGAGATTTGAAAAGATTTGAAAACTTTTGCACTCTTCCCTGCTCACTATGGACATAAGAAAGTGCTTTAAACCAATATTATCTTAAAAATGTATACATCATAACATACATTTTATCTTCTTAAAGCAAATACTGTAAAATAATCGTCAGGATTAAGCTGTTAATCGAACTATTTAACTGTATCGTGAGTTTAAAAAAAGTTGAAATATGCGTCCTTATGTATCTGTCAGCTGTGCAACATTTCAATAAAAGTATAACAAATACGCTAACATGCAATTACAGTACATGATAACTATAATTCTGTGGTATTTAAACATGACTTACCCCCTAGTAAACATATACATCGACTTTTTATTGTACTTGTAGTGTTAAAAATGCAAATTTCGGCACACACGTTGCTTTTACTGTTGCAAACATATCCCAACAGCCATCCCCTGCCCTGAGGGCAGAATGGGAGTTTTGGCAAGGCTCCATGGGATCTGGTCTGTTTCTGCCTCCTTACAAAAGAGGAGTGAGTGTCTCAGGGTCTCTCACTCTCTGCTCCACAGAATGACTGAATGACTGACACTGCTGCTGCTGCTGCTGCTGCACAATCAATGAGCTAACTACACCGATCCTCTGCTGTTCCTGTTGTCTACATTTTGGGCTGCACTCAAAATACGACACTGAAATACTAGAAATTGAAAACTTTCAAAAGGAGGTTGGACTGTGAGTTGATGTGAGGATGATTGCTCAGTTATTTTAATATATACATACTATATAATATTCAGCAATTTAGTTTGGCTTTTTTACATCTGACTGTTTTCTGACATGTTCTTGAACCCAGCAAATAAAATGGATGGATGCACAAGCTGCTCCGCTCTAATTTGATACAGAAACTACTTTTGTGGACAGTAACACTGATTGAATTTTGAATTGTTGTTGTTGTTTTTTCTCCATAGTTGGGACGAGGATGCTCCCCTCCTTTACGTCAGTGCTGCTGGTCACAGCACTGACCGGTGTCTGGGCCCAAGACTTGTATGAGGAGAGGAAAACTAGCAAGAAATTCAAGAACAAACCTCAGGCTGCAAACATTCATGATGGACAAGGTAAGAAAATGAATGAAAACTTTCTTATTCTCATACCAAAAACTGTCTTTTTAATAATGTTGCCATGATATTATATTTAGACTGAAAGGGTTTTGTGTTTGTATGATTTCCTATATACTATACTTAATCAATATATTACAGCACCAAAAAATTATATGCCTGCACTTCATGTCTTATTCTGATTGGTGGCCTACTAAACTACAGTTTTTCTGCTCTGTGTGAAAACTTAGAATAGATTTGTAAGAAACAAGTCAGTTGCTTAGAGAAAGTAATGTAATGTAATATAAAACAATGTGAGTTAGAGAGTCCTTCATCCTGTTCTGTCTGCACACAGCCATCCTAGATGAGGACTGTGGCCTGGAGCTCTCCTTTCTGTTGGACAGCTCTGAGAGTGCCAAGGACAATCACGAGCAGGAGAAGCAGTTTGCCATGAATATGGTGGAAAGATTCCAAGGGCTTCGGCTGCAGACCGGCCGCACCTTGAGCTTGAGGGTGGCCCTGCTTCAGTACAGCAGTCATGTTATCACAGAGCAAACCTTCAGAGACTGGAGGGGCACAGAGAACTTCAAGGCCCGCATAACTCCCATCGTCTACATTGGGCACGGCACCTACACCACCTACGCCATCACCAACATGACCAAGATCTACCTGGAGGAATCCAGCCCAGGCAGCATCAAAGTAGCCGTGCTGCTCACAGATGGTATTTCTCACCCGAGGAACCCTGACATTTTCTCTGCTGTTGCTGACGCCAAGAACCAGGGCATCAAATTCTTCACTCTGGGCATCACCCGTAAAGCCAACGAGCCAGCCAACGTAGCCCAACTCCGCCTGCTCGCCAGTGCCCCGGCCTCCCACTTCCTCCATAATTTACAGGACGAAGACATTGTTGAAAAAATCGTCACTAAGATTGTGAGTATAATACCTTGTCTTTCAGCAGACAACACTGGGAACAAAAGTGATGTATTTGCTTTGAATAAGCATCTATTCAGAGTAGACACATGGACAGGCTTGTTCAGGTATTTGTATAGAGATGGAATGATGACAATGCTCTGGAGAAACAAATGAAAGAATGTCTTTCGCTGCTTTTTACCCAGCTTTAGAAAAATACTGTTTGACATCTGCACGAGCATATCCCCTGGGATTTTCTCTAACCCTGACGCGCTCTTTTCGCCTCTTTCGGAAAAAAATTGTTTGTCTTGCAAACTCACATTACATTCCTTTATGGAGAAACAACTTGTGTTTATACATGAATTTATTACAATGTGACTCCTCAATCGTCATATAACTCATATAACTCATCAGTCACAAAATTAATGTTTGTGTGAAGGGGTTTTATATTGTGCTACATTAAATGAACATAAGAAATCTGCATCACAAATCTCACAGTGACTGCAATATTACTGCACTGACTGACATTTATCAACTTTTCTTTGCAGACTAGCTTGGCTGATGAAGGAGTAAGTATCATTACAATTAGACTCATGTATAGAATCTTTTGATATTTAATAATGTGTACTTTGGTAAAGGTGCCCACTTTGACAGTATAGAATTACATTTATGACAGCTTATCTAACATGTCTCTTTTTTTTCAAAGTGCCCTCTGGCTCAGAAATGTGCTTGTGAGAAAGGAGAGAGGGGGCCAAGCGGGCCTGCGGTGAGTATTTAGCCTCAAACTCTTCCACATATCCCCACAACCAAAGAGCAGTTTCCTTTTGAAGTGTCACAAGTTGTTTTGGATTCCTGAAATCTTGTGCAGAGAAATTTAACATGATATTTTCAGAATGGTAATTGTTCCGTTTTGAAGGATAATTACTTTTCCCCTCAGTGTAGCTTGCAGGCATTTGCACAAGCAGAGTAAATGATAGGTGGTCCCACATTCTAAAAG